TGAGAGACTGCATGGCTGCTCTTCAGCTAACCTTCAGTCAGTGACTCAACAAGCTGAAAGCTGAAGAACTCAAAAGGCAACCAACAGTAATGGGAGTGGGGAGATACTGTGTGTAGGTATTTTTCACCTAGATCACAAGCCGATAGGATCCAGCAAATTCAAAAGAATTAAAAATATTAAAAAGTAAATACAACCTATGCAATGTTTTAAACAATAGTTCTTCAGTTATGTGTAAGTTTTTAAATAAGGTAAGATCATTTTTAATATACATTTTAATATATAAAATACAAATACTCTAGCATATCCATTCTCTATGTGTCTCTAAAAAGGTATTTTTTATTTATGAAAAAATAAACTTAAGTTTTATGTTAGTCTGTATTTTAAACTTGTATTTAAGAATGTCACTCTCCAAAATCTTTTGGATATATTTGAATTTAATGGGGTTTATTAATGCTGCTGTTCCAATTTATTGTAGATTTATCTCTTTTTTTTTTTTTTTAATTCAAGTTGCATCTCTAAATTGTGTCACTATTTAGCTATCCCATGCAAGTACTTCCTCAAAAAGTGAACCATAAAAACATATAGCTTTTAATTTTTGAAGTTTTAACCTATGTGCAGTAAATATACTATAGTTTAAAAAAAACACAAAACCTACAAAAAATTCACCCAAAACAAACAAACAAACAACAACAACAACAAAAAAACCCATGTGTTTTGCAAAGATTTTAGGAAAATGTTACCTGTAACTTTTGTTCCTATTACGAGTGGTAACGGAATTTCTTCTGGAAGATCTTTGAACTGTGAAATATCTGCAACCTTACGCTGCTGCAAAAGTCTTATTTTCTGCCGTTTCTGTTTTAATGCTGATCTTTCTTCCTCAAAGAATGCAGAGGAACATCTGTAACACAATTAAGCAAAACTATTCTTAAATTCAACACTGAAATGAAAACATACATATATGAAGACACATCAAATCAATAGGCATATTCTACAATACAATCATAGAATCGTTAAGGTTGGAAGGGGCCTCTAGAGATCATCTAGTCCAACCCCCCTGCACACGCAGGGTCACCTAGAGCACATTATACAATGAATGAAAAAGAAAGTGAAAAGCTTGAGGTGAAGTGTTCAAGACAGAAACATTTCAGTAAACAGATTCAGTCAGCTTTACTCCCCCCAGTTATCACTTCCGAGATAAGATTTATTTAAACATAATACACAGAAATCCTAGCTACTTGCATTAGTATTTTAGAAGCGTATTCTTTTTTTACATGGGATTTTTGCTGCTTATATGCATTCACCAAAGCTAAAGTGGATGTCACATCCAGCCTATCCCGAATGCCAGTTCAAGGGAAGTTATTAGGGCTTATGTATGAGGTCCCTGACTGACACTGCTCATTGACATAGAATAGATCCCTTTTAAATGTGCTTATTAGCACAACTAAACCAACTGGGATAGGCCTGTTCTGTTTAAATAAAAGGAAAAAAAAAGCCATGTTTTATTTATTTATTTTATTTTTTAAAGTCTTATAGCTCATCTGAGGAAGCTGATTTACTCCCAAGGTCCTTGCTTGGTTTTACTCATTTTCACTTTACTGAATACATTTGATGCATGAGGAAGACTCTGAAAGCAAAGAAGGCCATTAGGATTCTATCCTATCTGTGGTTCCTTATTAAGAAAAAAAAAAAAGTTACATCATCTTGTGGAAATTGAAGAAGTTATTTGAAAGAGAAATAATGTAGGTGTCTAATTGCAGAAGCAGTTATTTATCAAGTTATTTACTATTTTATTCATTGTTTTACTGTAGTTAGGTGCAATTTAAACATTTCCTGTAGAACTCATGAGGTCATATATTGCTTATGGATCAATTAAAGCTGCTACTTTATGAGGCTACTTTAGAAGGCATGCACTGATAATTCCTCTGCTGATTCCCTTTTCTGTACTGCTGTACACCATATCTTGTTCATTTAAAAGCATTTCAGCACTCACTCAGTTATTTCTTTCTCATTCAGTATTGAGGAGACAACTCCTATTTCCAAGTCTGCTTCTACTACTCTCCTATTCTATGCTGAAATAAGCACTCTTATGTTTTCTTCTGTATACTCTGCAGTTGGGAAGAGTTCCTCAAAACCATTTCAGTATTCTCCCAATCTTCTCTTTGGTGTGATGGACAGAACAAGCTGAAAACCACTAAGCAGGCAGGGGCTGAGACCATTTTCTTTTATGCTGACCAGCAGTTTATACTCCTTTGCATATCCATAAACATCAGTTGTTTTCTGACTTATTTCTGCTTTATTAGTTAAATGGGTCATGAACCATCTTTTTGCTCAGTGTGTAAAGTATTAAACACAATGAGATCTTAGCCCTAGACATAAAAAAATAAAAATAAAAAGTACTACAGGGATGAACTGAAGCTGAGATGTATTTCTGTCAGATCTGAGGAGTAGTTCCCTCACAGTTTCTTTACAGGGCGTTTAAATCAGTATCACTGCAGAAGTCATAACTGCTGCTGGCATCGTGTATAAGCTGTATTGCAGATCGAGCAATTTATGTGCGTGTCCCACTCACCCACTTACTGAAGAGCGGAATGTATTTACCTGGAGTTGTATATTGCTTAAGTGATCCTCACTAGGAGCTCAAAAATATCTGGAAAGGGATATGGTAGAGAGGTAGAGAGTGGTTGGGAGATGTATGCAAAACCACTTTAGAAATTCTTATTTAGAAAAGGTTTTTTTTTTGTTTTTTTTTTTTGATGTCACAATTACTGCTGAGGGAAAAAACAAGTGTGAAGCAATGCTTGTATGGGCTGTAAAATGAAACAGCAAAATGCAGGTCAGAACTCCTCAGTGTCACTGAGGTAAACAACAGGGTGACTATTCACAGTAAGTCAAAAAAGGAAAGAACAGACTTTCATGTCAGTCCTTCTGAACATGTCCAAGGTCTTGCATCAGGAGCATCAGGTACTGCCTGATGTTCTTTGACTCATGGTCTTAAATACAAGCTCAAAAATAAAGTCAGATTTGGAGGTTCCTATCAACAACAATAGAAACATTTCACTTAAAAGACTCTGTTCAGAATGCAGAGAGATAGGGAGGTAGAAACTATTTGCGATGTGTTTCCAGTTTCTGTCACAAAAAAATTCTAACCCCTCTCCGCAAATGGATTTAATAAAAGTTGTCTGATCTTTGCACTGCTGCTGTAAAAAATGAAAGGTGAAAACCACACTAGGTAGATCACATTGTTCAACTTCTTAAAGAAAAAAAAAAAAAAGAGTCTTTACAGAAAGTAAGGAGGTTGCAGACTACTTGGTTTCCACTTTGATCAAGAGAATTTAAACTAACATACATGATTCATTATCATAGCATCATGACAGGGCAAGCATATCTGATTAACTCATATTCCCTCCTATTTCACAACCCCAGTGAAGTTTATGTAATAGAGTACACAAGACTAACTATTACCTCTTCCTTTTCTTGGAGCATATCTTTTCCCCAGAGTCTACTGGAATCTTACCAGTTTTGCAGGCTCCCAGGAAGCAAACTGTTGTGTCAATCACCCACACTGTTGATGGTGTGATAGGACATTTAATTTAAAGTTGCAGCAGACATAAGAAAATATTACAATATAGTTAAAGCAATATGAAAGTAAAAAAACAATCACGTGCACAGCTACCACACGGAGATGTTCTTATCCTCTGCCATCAACACTGTGGATGCAAAATATCTTATTTTTTTTCTCCTCCTTCATGTGGAGTTATTGGCATTGCTATGGTATTTGTCTTACTTGCACATAATGAGAAAGAAAGAAGTTCTTTTTAATAGAACGGTAACAAAAAAAAAAATTGCTCTAGAGGTAGATGAAGTCAGTCTTGAAAAACTTCAAAAAGATTCAGAAGACTTAAAATCATTCAGAATCTACTGAACTGAAAAAAAGTTATTTTAGTTCATTAAGAATACAATGTGCGCAAGTGAGAGGAATCGTTATCTCAATGGTGCAGCACACTGAGGTGAGTTCATCTTTTCTACTGATACCCACTTTCAGCAGAGGTCAAATGAATAAACATGAAGACTAAGTGATGAACGAAACTCCAAAGACACCAAGGCCCTCTCAGGAAGCGCCTTGTTTTTGTCTAATGTACCAGTTTACAGGCACAGAAGATAAAATAGCCTACATTAGACAAAATCTAACCTGACTCAATACCATAATCTACGAAAGCTATTCAGTGCTTTAGTTTTCATATTCAATATTTAAATTCTAAAAATAAGCAATTGTATTCTGCAACATTCTCTATACATTTTTCTCCTTGATCTTACACCATCATGTTGGTTCTGTAAAAAGACTGAATTGAACGGGCAGTTTTAGAAATTACGAATCCAGTTCAGTTAGGAACTGAAGGGAAACCTATGCCCTTGATTCAGTTCTGGATTCTTGCCTGCAGTGTCCAAGATTCTATGGACAGCATTTATTTACTTGTCTCCTTTTTGGCAACCAAGGCAAGAAAAGTTGAGGATCTACAAAAAATGGTTAAAGATAAATAAATAAATGAAACGATAAGGTGCGTTTATTCTCCTGTGTAGTTGTTAAAAAAAAAAAAAATTAAAAAAAAAAAAAAAAAAAAAGCCAACACCTTTCAAAAACCTTTCCTGGCAAGTTTGCCCAACCTCCATGCCAGGCACTACTGAAGCATGAAAGATACTAATGTATTTTCAACATATCCTAGCTTGTAGGATCAGTTATCAAGAGCAGGAATAGAATATTTCAAGTAAAAGCTCATGAGAACCACACTGAGTGGATATATCCAAATAAGCAATGGTGACATGGAAGGGGGATAAGTGCAGAAAACACTTCAAAACCAACAAAAATTCCCCTCTCAGCTATTATTTTGCTTTACTATCAGTGATTTTAGTAAGAATCCAGAAAGCCAAAAAACTGTACACACAGTTATTAGATGAGAAGGGGAAAAAGTTACCTTCGTGGTTTTCCCATCAGTCGTCTGATTTTTCCCCACTCTACTCTTGTCAACTTTCTAGTTTTCAGATTTGGGAAGGATTCTTTCAGGCATACACAGAAATCATTATCTCCTTCAAATAATGGCCTGTTAAAACATAATTTGCCCTCTGGTAAATGAACACAGTAAACTTTTATCACCAAGTTCTACAAAGCAGTCATCGAATAAGAAAATAATCCACATAAACAAGATATCTATCTTCAAAGAAAAAAATTAACCTGAAATCAATTCCATGAAAAAGCAATGACAGAAAGTTTCCAGGAGTACTGTTGCATTTGAGCCTCACCAGCAATCTTTTTGACTTTATAATGTTTAATTTTCACCTCACCTGTTCATAGAGCCAAACACTCATTTTGCTTTGCAATATATGCAAGGGCACTGTTGTAACTACATGAAACCCCAATAAAACCAATGAAGTAAAAACAACGAAGAAGCTGGAGTTCAATGAAGGAAACCATAAGGGTGCAGTGAGGTATTAAGAGCAAAGGAAGGAATAATAATTTTATGCAATGTGCTAGCAAGACATAGAAAAAAAACAGTACTCTTTTCACCAATTCACTCACTTATAATGCAGATTCTCAACAAAAGGTTCCAAAAATCCAGAAGATTGAACAATCTTATCATTCGCTACAGTCATACAACAGAAAATCATTCCATGACTCCATGAGAAAGTGGAGGATGGATGTTAGAGCAGTGGCAGTTTGGAGAACCTACCTACACAAGTTATGACTTTCTGTTTGATGTTATGACCTGTCTGTATCCTTATTTTTTGACTGCCCTTCACTTTGCGGTACCACATTCTTCTTGTGCTGAGGAGACAAGGGACCAGCAATGGATATGCCTGTCTAATAGCAGGTTAATCATGAAAGACTATATGCAACTGAAACAGATCTCACCTAGTGAGAACAAAAGAATAACTGCATCCTAGATAAAGCCACTTTTCCCCCCAAAAGGGTGCTAAGGTTTATACAGGAAACTTTTAAGTACAAGCCAAATGATCTTGGAAACAACATAGCTCTCGACTAGGAGGATGGGGTGGCAGGAGAAAGGGAGGGTTCATGGAGACAAGGAAACTTAGGCAAGAAAAGAATGCAATATTTTTGCAGTAAAAGACCTGTGACTGCGAGAACAAACTAAAAGGAAACTGTAGAGGAATAAACCAGAGGTTAGGATGAGGCTCAGGAGTTGCTGAGGACCCTGACCAAATGTGTACAGGATGATCACGGTGTGCAGGAAACAGGCAAGGTAGTGCTAACAGTTTTATTTTATTCAGATACACATAGATATGTTAGCTACACTACAGAAAACTTTTTTAGGAGAAAGCGAATTGGTACATGATTGCTTTTATTATCACTAAGCAGGCAAAAAGTAAAACTCCAACAGCAACAAGATTAGTAGTTCTGCGAAAAGGTGTAAGCAAGTTACAACTGCAACCAGATAAGCAGATACCTAGAAGTGTAAAAGGGTGTCAGATGTCAGAGCAGGCTGTACACGACCTACTTGAAGGAAAAAGGGGACTTCACAGAAAACAGTCTAGTGAGAGTCTAACTGAAACAGCTTCTATAATATTCTAATAATCACAGATCATAACTGCACAGAAAAATATTTCTAAAACTTACAGTAAAACTGTAGCATTTACATTGATGAAACCAATTTGGAATACAGCAATTTGAATATTTTGAGACTTGTAAATTGAGGGTTTTTTCAGCTGATGGAGTTGGCTCTATTATTTAAACGTTTTTATGTTTCACATTAAGTCTAGATCATATAATTCAAAACAACATCAATCAAAATTTATCTTTCCAAGTTCTGTAATCTCTTAGTATTTTATTGTATCTTAACATGAACATATCTTACTGGCATTCCAAACATAAACTGATAACTGTATCAAAGAATTTTTCAGAATTATCTACTAAAATCAAATTCTAGTCTACTGACCGACCAAAAGCTGTACAGACGATTATTTGGGGATAAAATAAAAAGTCTTGGGAAACTGTAAAAACAATAATTATTCTCATACATGCCATATATTAAAATTATTACTGTAAATAAACAATTGTTTTCTATTAAGCAGTTGTTTTTTTAAGGCCAGAAAAGGATTCAAAGACTACTACTTTCAAAAGAGCTAAATCCTACACACAAGAAAGCCCAAACAAGCTAAAATGAATATGTAATCCTTTTGCTTGTGATGGGCATATCCTATTTTTTAAAAATATTATTTATTTTTATTGCTAGAACTGCTTGCTCAGTTTAAGGAAAATAGTCCTAGTCAAAAAAGACAAAAAGCCATTACTTACTTGGTTATGAATGAATACTAGAAAAGAGTACTTGTCAACTCTTCAGACATCCTTTAGAATACTAAGTGCTAAAATGTTTCACACCTTTGTCAGTCACTGTACCTTTAAGATTACATGTATTAATAATTATTATTATATTTTAGAAGTTTTGGGCTTTCATGATTTGAGACAATTAAAAATGGTTCTTTTAAACAATTCATTCCACATTACTAGGTGGAAAACTACTAACAAAACAAGGGTCAAGTACTCTGAAGCACAGGTTGTCCTAACAGTCCAGAAAGCAGAGTAGGTGATACAGTAAGGATGCCAATATCCAGGAAAGAATGGGTTACAACCCACAGTTCTATTAATAATCACAATAAAAACAGGGGGGTGGGGAAGAAATGCCAGAAACCAACATTTATACTTTTTAGACAAATAACACCCTATGTACTGAAGAGTTCCAGTAAATATTATTAATCCAGAGGTTCAAAAAGATCTAGGTATTCTGATAATTTCACACTTAAAAAAAGCTAAAAATATATGAATAAAATTTGTATCTAGTAGCAGCAGAGGTCATAAAAAAAAGAAAGTTACTTCCATAGAAGGGTAAAGGAGACACCCAAGTACGCTGCTCATTGTAAAGGGGGAAAACAAACAAACAAGCTCTAAAATTTGAAGAATAAACCTAAGAGAGTCTAACCAATACATGGAAATGTGCAGCTTGATTTCAGACTTTTTTTCTGTGCTAGTAAGTGATAATTCTATTTAAAAAAAAATACATACTTATCTATATTTGAATAGAACCACTCATATATGCACCACTTGTGAGCTTTGGGCAGTTTGAGCAGGTTACGAAGCCGCAAACCAATCTTCTGCGATGCTTTCTTGTCTGGCGTTGGCATTGTTGCAGTAAACTTCTATAGAGTAAAATAAAGGAAACCATTAAGCATAGCCCTCAAGTTCTTCAATGTTCAAATAATTAAAATTCCTTTTCTTGATAAAAAAGTACATTAACAATTATTACATTTTAATCATATATATTTTTTCTTGATAATTTTGTCACAGAACTATTATAAATCTTACCACATTATATTGACAACGCAAAGAAACATAGCAGAGGGCAAAATAGTGGGATCAGTTCCACAAATTATCTCTGTATAAGGCTCTTCTATTAGACATATTTTCCAGCACTGAAACTAAATTATTAGGAACAACAGCACAGGTTCTAAAGCATATACAGACCTTAAAAATTTGAGACACCTCTGAACTTTATCCCAGGCTGGCATATGTGACACAGGCTCAAATACCAGCAATACCAACTGCCTCATTTATACTAGGGCTTCTGCTCTTGCCACAACTACCTGTTATCCTCCCCAAATGCTCAATGGACTTGATTTTTAGTAGGAGAAATAATAGGATAAAACCCATGATAGGCACCTTGCTGGCTCCGACTGTGCTTAACCATTGCCTTCTAAGTCCCCTTTCTTCCACGGCTTCTCCAGGACAGCAAGACCTGAGAGCAACAGTGGCTGCAGTCCCTCACAAATGTTTACCCAGTCACCACAGGATCTCCTGAACTAAACATGCAAGTACAAACCAGTTGGGTCTAGAACATTATTCAGGTCTTTCTACTGAAATCATGGCAACGAAGAGAGAGAGATGTCATGACTTCCATCTCTGACAACATGGATCCAGCAAAATGGAAATTGCCGAATCTTCTCCATCCTACACAAATCAGTACAGTTGAGAAAGCAAATAAGAGTGGTGTTCAACCATGTCTACTTTTGCAGAATTCAAAATGAATGCAAAATTCAAAAGTAGTAATGCGAATGCCTACTACGGGCTCCAACAATGAAATATGGAAGTGCTTGGGATAACAAAGGGAAGAGAAATCCAATTACCCAACACTAAGAAATACTGTCCTGTCTAGCATAGCAGTTCAAGGCCAAGAGAAATTACAGCTATTTTGTGATACAACAAGAAGTAGATACTCAATGGGAGGCATAGAAAAAGAATTAGAGAAGAGTATCATTACAGGCATAAGTAGGTAGAGCTGCCCATGAATACATTTAGGCAGGAAAACAAGAGTAAGTTCCTAATTATTAGAATATGGTGACATTCTGTAACCGTCTTCTAAATTAGATATTCAGTACAAGAAACCTAGCTAGTCTTTAACTGTAGGAAATCTATGCACATTAGAGGACATGACTGTTTGCAGTAGTAAGATAGTCAATTACTCTGGAATCCTTCCTAGCCCCATATGCTTCTGTCCATGATCAAAATGAACACATACTCTCACACACAGCTGAGCAACCCAGTTATGAAAAGAAAACATAAATTTTGAAGTGTGGCTTAACCCTGGTAACAGCTTTCCTCACAAAAATATTCCTAAATTGACAGGGCAACTTAGGTATCAAATGAATCCTAATTTTCAGCTAGAACAGATAGGTTTGTTCTTTCTGGTAAAAATATCTGCATACATGCAGGTACCTGTGGAACCATCGCAACCTTCTGATTTCTTTTGGGTGACCTTGCGTTTATTTGTCTGTCATCTTCTTCACAGAAGAGTCGACTCCGTTTTGAATTTCTGAAGGGCTGCACGTATCAAAATTAACAGCGCATTACAAAAGAAACCCGGTGCCTCTGCCCATGCACAGAACTGACAGCGAGAGAAATCCTATGCCTTTCCCCAGCCACCTGTAGGCCTAAGACAGATGGTACACAATAAATAGAGCCTCCTAGCAGTTACAAATCTAAAGGCTGAGAGGAGAGAGGAAGGAATTTAAGATTCCAGGCTTTCCAATGCTAACTATAACCCATTACTACACTGCTGGCCCAGATCCACTGAAGTATTTAGAACTTAACTCCCACTTGTTTCCAGGGGAGTTAGGTGTCTAAACACTTCCGTATCTAAGCTTAATATAGTATTTCTTTTGGTTATAAGCACATCTGCTAAACAGCTTGTTCTGGATTTGGGGTTAAAAAGCGAAGAGAAGGCTGGTATTCAAACTGTGCTTATTTTGGTATGTTCTAGGTGATAAAAAAAATAGTTGCATATAAAAGTTCTTGCAAGTCTCTCTCATGAATCTAATGAAGAGATTTTTCTAACTTGCTGAAAGTGCATATATTGCATAATGATAAGATGCTGTAGTCTGATTAACCTAAAATGTTAACTAAAGTTATATAAAATATCAGATGAGAGAAGAACTTAGAACTTATGCTGATTAAAATTTATTTGTATGCTAAAATGCTGTAGCTCAAAGAGAAAGCTGACCAAAAATGAAAAGTCATACTGCAAATATATGGCATGAAAAAATCTAATCATTCTAATACTTCTGCTTAGTTATACCTCAAGATTTCCACCTATGACTAAAAGCTTATGTAAAGCCCAAGGACAAAACAGTAACCCACGACTACGACTAGTGCTGCCAGTAAGAAGCCTTCCTTCCATGAACACTGTGGCCAGCACAGACGCCAGCCACAACCAAAACCTCTCCTTTGTAGAGCCCCGAGACTGCACCCTCCAGCGTTCCTTGTAATTCAGCCAATTGACAAAGGTGATGAAAAAAGGCAAAACAAATGCAGATTTCATTTCTGCCACTACAGATGGTGAAATAGGTGCTAATTGACACAGGTATGAAATCGATGACACCTACAAAGCGATGAATTCTAATAACAAAAAAAAGTTCTTCATAGCAGTCAGAAGCAAAATAAATCAAAGTGAGATATATTTAATAAGTCTGAGGCTGATCAAAACACCTAACATGTTTGGAAAAAAAAGCTAGTCCCTATGGAATTAATTAGGGATAGAAAAAAAAGTCTATTTATTCCATTTCATGAGACAAGCCGGAGCTTTTCTGACTTAAAATCATATACATATTTACAATCAAAACCACACAACGAAGATACTGCTAAGTAACAATGGTGCTGGAATGCCCAGGTATATTCAGCACATACAAGAAGAAATACCCATTATTTGAAGAGTTTACAAACCAGGAGAGACACACCCACTTAATAGAGGAATTATATATTAGATAGCAACCAAATGATGCTCATATTATATTAACATAGTAGCTGGTTTATCATATTAGTTGTTCTGGATATTTTTTCTCTCTTCAGCAGGGTACAGAATTCTTTTTATCCCACGTCCCACTTCACTATACAGTCTCCAGAGGGAACTTGAACTCCCATTACAATGTCTTTATGCTCTTTTATGCCCTCTCTAACGCCCTGGACAAACCACTAACTTGAAAACAAAAGGTCAGAACATTTGTAACTTTTGGGCGAGAAAGCAGATCCATGTTCCTGCCTCTACAATAAAGACTCTCATATTGCTAAATCTCCTGAATTCATTTTTATCACAGCATTCTGCCTACAGGGAAAGCAGTCAATTTCCTATTGAATGTTTGTAATTTTACCCTAAAACTTGATATTTGAGGTGCTGGTTCTAGAATAACTTATTTCCCCCAAAAGTCTACATAGTCTGCTTGACTTTCTGACACTGTACCAGATAAAGAGCACATGCCAACACAGGAACACCAATGCTCAGACAATGCAAAGCTTAAATAATTCTTTCAACCTTATGCTGAGGCAATATTACAAACTAAGAAGATTGCTCTATAAGCCTTAACAAAACCTGTTCTAAGGAACTACCCAAAACGGTAAACTGCTTCATCAGTTTAGATTGCCTATGTCTTATTAACAGAAGCAAAAAGTAGTAAGTGCTGCAAAGAGACTGCTAAAAAAGGCTGGACATTTTGGAAAGATTTTCAACTACCAATACAACACATATTCAAAACTCACAGTGTTTAGGAAACCCAAACTAGGATAAAAGACTACATTGCTTATCAACAGCATGGGCTTCTACACACCTATTAGCCTTCATCTGGGCTTTAGCCCAGCTTTCCACAGAATACTGATTCAAATTCCAAGTCTTGCTACTTGTTTTCAATACTTAAAGCCAGCATACCTGAAGTTTTGGTGTATATATATTACAAATGAATGATTTCTATCTGCAGCTGCATGCAATCTACTGAATAACTGCTAATGCCCATTTTTGTCAGAAGATGAATTTCCCTAGTGGGCTGCTGGAAACTGTGTCTTGAACTCCCACAGAAACTGAGAGCCACAACAAAAGTCACTACTGTCTAGAACAGTCTTCTCTAGCATAAGCACTAGCAACATGCGTACCTACATTTGCATGAATTTTACCAAAACAAGGTTCTTTTCTGTGTATATTTCTCTCTACAGGGAGAAGCTCCCAGAAAAATGACATAACAGATGTTAGTCACATTGCTTAAAGGGTTACTGGATGCTGATCAGGTAATTTGATTTGCGCAGGCAAGTGCAAGAGTTTTCAGGCATAATACTTCCCCCAAAATAAACAAGTTTACTACAAATAAACAAATAATGATTTGAATACAAAGCAGGTGACTATTTCAAATTTGGTTGCAATTACTGGGAAGAAGGTGGGATGAGAGGAGTGTGGGAGAGAAGGTCTGTGCAGCAATCCTGAAGATGTCATAGAAAAGAACGAGCAGTATCGCAGATGTGGACAAACAAGGCATGGGATGAGATACAGCCCGCAGCATAAACAGAACAAAAATAGTCAGGAAGAGGCAGAGGAGGCTGAGAATAATCAAGAAAAGCTTGATTGTGATAAGGAAATAAAGGACAACAGAAAGTTTTAAAAACAGAGATGGTAAAACCAAAGATGAGAAACAGAATCTTGGAGTCTGCAGCGTCACTGCTTCTCACTCCCTGCCCCAATGCAGTTCTTTAACTTAAGGTCTCCTACAAGCGCTCTCAGAATGCTGGGGGACACTTCTCTGCCATTCCTTCCATTTTAGTAAGATATTCCCCACAATGAAGACACAAGGATGGAAGTGCGTTAATGACGTTTATCCTTCCTCTTCTTTATGCATTAGTTATCAACCAAAATTCAAAGTTAGGTATTACAAAAAAGAAGAGAGAGAGAAAAGTGACTCAGAGCTATTTTGAGCAAAGTTATAAATTTATTTTGATTGTTTATTTATTTCTAAAATATGCCTTCATTTCACACCGGAACTGCACAGAGTACTGTGAAGGATAGAGTTTAAAGCTCAGAAAATGTGAAACTATAAATCTCAGGCAAATCATTCCAAACTTAAATTTGGTTCACCTTTTTTTTTTTTCCTTCCTCCTCTCTCTCTTCTTGAAACATTTATTTCTTACCATTTCCACAGCAGAACCAGCATTCTTGCTTTTCCAAATAGGTGTTTTCTGCAGAGAATTATACTTTTCATTCCACGTGCTGGATAAACTTCCCTCTGTTGTGAAGAGTTCATGTCATTAATATTTTTGTTAATATACCTACTATCCAAATGTTAGCACAACATTGTCAAATACTAATATATTTTTATACTTGCAATATTTTCTTTTGAATCAACTATAAACAGATTTATACACCAATAGTTCTATTAAATTGCTTTGAACGCTCAAAAAAAACAAATACAAAAACTGAAGGAGGCTTTCAGAACAAGGAGAACCAAGAAATAAAGTTGAGATTTCATGAAATCCCTCTTTGCAGTAATCTGTTACTTCCATTGCCAAGGTGACAAATACCCACAGAGCCATAGCATGGCTGTGACTGAATGTTGAAGATGGTAAAACTCCAGGAAATTTGGTCTCCTCCTGGCTCTTAAAATGATTGAAGGGGAGACACTCAAAAAAAAGTCAGTTAATTTTAACCGCAACAAATCTACAGTGGTTAAAACACATTCAGCCAACCATTTCTTCTTTGTTGTTTAGTGCAATATATAAAGAGACTTCTGCTTGGCAGAATAGAAGTAGTCTTTTTATTTAATCTCCTCAGTAATATCCATTAAGATAATTTCAAAGAAAAAGCAATATAAAACAGATTTTTTTTTAGTTCTCCCACCATGTCCTGGTAGAAAACACAGTGAGATTATGAATTTCCTTCCTATTGCAAATTCTCACATGCACAAGTTGCATGAAGATTCCTTTCCTCTCTTGAGGATGAGATAGAGGATTATCTCAATTTTCTCATCAAACCTGACACCTAAGCAACATTTTAAAGGGAAAAAACACATTTCAGAAATGCCACCCAAAAGAACAGTGTCTAAATACACTGCAACATATGTAATTTCAACTGCTGAGTCTCAATCAACTGAAACGACAGACCCACAATAAAAAAATTATACAAAAACCCTCTTTAATAAATGTTATTTTGTTGAAGCTTTCAAAGCTAGAAACTCAGCATATCTGAAGGCCAGATTATCAATTTCAATTGTATGACAAGTTAAGACATTAATTTCTTACCTTTCAAGCTCACAAGTGCTTTTGCGGAAGAACCTGTAATATATCAGAAAGAGCACATAAATCATAAGGCATTTCAAAGTACACATCCTAGGTATAGTCTATGTATTCTCAATTAATTCTTAGGCAGAAAGGGCAATTTAATACCAAATCTTTCATAGCTGAATGAATAGATCCCGCATGTTCTCCATGGCACTAGCGTTACCTGGCTGTGACCCAGTAAAACCTTGAAAGTGTATTCACTTGCTTTTTTCTGCCTTTAGTTTAAGATTCACAGAACAGTTTCAGATCCTCAGCACTTTTGTTTAATGCAGTCAGTTCTGAAAAAAAGCTCTATTTTCAAACCGCATACATCCACACAGCTGCCTGTTCGATGCAGCTGCAAATATATTACACAACTTACTAGGAAAGTGTAATGAGGTCTTTTGTGACTGAAACCGCATTAGAGTTCTCCAGGACCACAAACACTGTGCTTGGTCAAATACAGAGGCCCCTGCTATCCACCATGCGTGCAGTCCTGAAGTGAAACACTTACGTGATGGCCAGTGAAATAGTATCTGTCCCTCAAAGATTAATGCAAGAGAGATGTGTGCCATGATTAACAAGTACACAGTTTTAAAACATGGGAAAAATACACATGTCGCTGAAGATGGACAAGCAGAAGCAGTATCATGAGGATTGTCCAAGGGAGGAAGCGTTGGATTTTTGGAATGGATCACTGTTCTGAAAGCTCTCAGGCTCCCATCTCTAACGCTGGTCAATGCCCTCTTTTTCCGTCCACTACTCAGATGAATCAAGTTTAGTGGCCCCGTTCAAGGGCGAATATGACAACGAAAACGTAACGATGCAGCAAGAGGCCGCAAAGCCTTACGTTGGGGGTAGTTTCACAGGTGAAGTGCCCAAGGTGCTTCGCTAAGCACCAAACTCAGATGCTCCACACAACTGAGTGATGGTGAGCCAGCGGAGCAGCCCTTCCACGACTGGCAATGACCGGAGCCAGCAAGGAGCAAGGCACAGCAGGGTCACTGCCCTATCTTCTAGTTTTATAAGATCTACACTCCAAAACAGCCTTAGCCACCAAGGTACTGCCTGCACAGGGTAGGTATGAATCAGTAAGTTGCCCAAGAACCACAAGCCTCAGCACGCATGCCAGAAGAAGAGTGCTCAGTTATTTTTACCTAACCTGCAACTAAGGTAATGGTAATGTAACCAGAAGAGAGCATCTTTACTCAGACTCCAGTCCAAGGCATGTCTGTAGAGAAATCACTCTAATGTAATAAGTTGCAGGAAATTACCAGCACTTATTTCTCTCTAGCCTAAAACATTAGAATAGTTTTAGGATATTAAAAAAAAACAGATGTATACAACCTTAATTTTATCTTGAAGGCAGTAATACCATGGGTTTTCTTGTCAAGTTCAATTATATTGATCTACTTGTAAGAATAGCAAACTTTTAAAAAAATGGTACATTTCACTTCTGTTTAATTTGCCACTATTTTATGCAAAACCAGGGCAACATAAGTGGAAGCTAGAATGATCTTCTGAGACATAACTGGTTAAAGTAAGACAAAAACAATTAAACAAACAAACACCCAACAAGAATTAATAAATGTATTTGGAAAAGTATTAAAAGTATCATATGATTCAGGATTCAAGTCTCTTATAACTACTCTAATTTTAATTAAAGTGTTGGTTTACCAGTATTCCAGCCTCACATTAAATACCAGTCATTTTGTATGCAGCTTTCATTCTGACCAACAAATATATAATCATAGGCAGCCTTTTTAAACCAGCACTTTAATTACAAACAAAGAGATTAAAACAAAAATATATACACATGCTTGAACGGAAATATCTGTTATGACCATGACACATATTCCATTACTCCAAACATAACTAATGCGCATTAAAAGGAATGGATGGAAAGGAAGAAATACAGGGTCAAGCCTGTCTACTTACAGAACAGGAAAAAGTGCATTTCTGTGTTTTGTGACCCTAACGAGGAGCAATTCGCAAGAAGCGCATGGAAAACTGAATGACAAACATGCAATGTTAAGCCAGTGTTCAGTGGGCAAGACAAGCAGCACAAGGAGCACGACTCTCCGGGCCAGGCGCGCAGGGAACCTGCTCTGCTGCAGCTGGACAGCTCCCGGGGCCCTGAGCGCTTCCAGAGCCTCGCCGGGAACATGAGCCACAGTTGCCACTTTGTGACGTGCAGAGCTGAACTGAAAAGAAACGCCGCTAATTTTCCCCCTAGGAAGTAATTGTTTAGGTGGAGAAAGGCTTTGAAGTAGCTCTGTGTGTCTCTGCGTGTGCAGGGGGGTTGGACTAGATGATCTCTAGAGGTCCCTTCCAACCCTAAGCATTCTATGATTTTATGATTCTATGATTCTAAGTACAGGAAAAAATAATCCGAAGTCTTCTATTCAAAAAAAATTGAGTCAAGTTCAAAATTTAAGTTCAAAACAAGCACTCACTCTCATCCTCTCATCACCATAACTGGACAAAAGAGAGCATTCCTGTAATTTAATATGGGCAGTTATGGGTGCCTGGAGGCATATTTTCAGTGTTAAAATCTAAACTTTGTTTCATGTTAAAATCAACTGTTGAGAAGCTGTGTTTCACGTCCAGCAGAAATACCAACACACACATTATAGTTGTGAAAGATTTCTTTTTTAAATAAAAATGATTGTAACAACTGATCATAATTTGGAAAATGAAGTACACAAATAACTAAAGGGAAGTTCTGTAGCTACTGATTTTACTGACACGCAAGCACAAAGAGGTGCCATAAGAGCAAAGAGAAATCAACATGGGAAATTATACAATTCAGATGAGTATTAATAAAACCCTTCTTCTCCAGACCATAACACACTTCTGTCTAAATTCTGCACTGATCATCAGTTACTTTAACACGGGTTGCACTACACCTCAAAAACATATGTAATTAACTATATGGATGGCTCCAAAATGGAGTGACAGAACAAGCTTCTGGAGAGGCGAGGGGAAACACAAGCCTTTCTTACAGACTGAATCATTAATCCTGCCAGAGATCATTCATCTACACAAGCACAGCACAAGTGGCTTTAGCAGTGAGGAAGTATTTCAAATGACTAGCCATTAAAAGCACAGCTCATTCAGGGAAACTTGGAGAAAGAAAAGCAGGTATCATCAGAAAAATGGAGTGGCAGCATTTAAGCTGCCTGAAAACTTTGGGGCTTGCTGAAGAGTTAAACAAACAAGAGAGAACGATAACTCTTAACTTCAAGTATGGATCAACATTTCCCTTATGTTATGAACACACTAACAGCCTGATACTCATGTAAATCTAAATCCTGATTTAACTACTAGATAGAACTCCATTTTTTTCATCTTTGTGATCTCTGCTAACAGGACTCATGTAGACAGTAAACAAAACGACGAAACACTCTTTTTACAATGCTACTTTCTCAAGATAGAAAATACACTAGTACCATAACAACACTATAAGCCTAAAGGTCTGATACACAAATGAGGCCAGAAGTATTAATCGTGGGGGATATTCAGCAGCCATGAAATAAGCGCTGCCTTGCGTGCTGAATCTCACATGGTTCTGCCAACCTCTCACCTCAAACATCTGGAGCAGGGCGGTGCTATGACCACAACTCAGGTGCACTTGCTATGTATGACTTGGGAACACTGCGCTCACTAGTAGCTCAGTGCTTTGCTCCTGCTGCTGAACTTTTGGTTGGCCCAAAGGCAGGCTGCACTCTGCGCAATCGACGCCACCGCTCCTCCTCTCAGAGTTACTTGTGCAAAAGGACACGCTAACAAGCAGACGTGCCCGCAATGACAGTCCTCCTGTTTCATTTGCAGCCATCTGTTTTATCAAAGTCTCCCCCCAGCTTTACTCCCCACACTTTACAACCAAATAAAATTGCTATGACTTGTAGGAAGCGGCAAGACAGCACTACATGCGCTCCAATCAATTACTTCTCCCCTTCTGAGACAGGGTGAAACAGCCATCTGGTTTGGAGCAGTAAAACTGCCTGCATTTACCTCCCCTGCAGAACCTCCAAGAGATAAGGGGGCAGGCGGGGACGCAACAACTGAAACTAGTCATACACTGGGCGTGAAGTCTGCGTAAACAATTTTGTCTCCAGAACAGGAACCCAATGATTTATTGTTTAAAAACAATTTATTGGTCTGCAACTGGGATCTTTAATATTACATAAATTTTGGTTACAGGATGTGCCATGGAATCACTCTCTTCTCGCAGAACTTTGCTCCATTCAAGCAGACAATATCGCTCTTCCCTTTGAACACTAGTGGGAGCGGGTCCCAGCTACAGGAAATGCATGTGAACCTGAATGCTGCCGCCTCTTTGGTGTTTTAGGCTGTCACTGGGAACCTCCTTATTCATTTCTACAGGATGACACTGTTGCATCGTTTTGCAAAGTCGGTGTGACAAACTCAGCAGACCCAACAAGGAAACACTACAAGGGGCAATTGTGCGCCTTGCATTCATCCCCCTTGCAGGCAGCGAAATATCCACCACTCAGCTCATTACGGAGATGGTCAGAGGGCAGGCAGGTCCCGCCAAACTCCTCAGATGTAAATTCCATTTAATCAAACGTCAAATTTGAAAGAAAACTACTGTATAGTTCCTATCATACTAGAACATTTCAGTTATCTGGACACCGAGTATATTTCGTTTAATCAGAAACTTGTTAATGGAATAACTGAGTTATGGTTTGCTAATTTACTGTATGCTAAGTCGGACAAAATCATAGAATGCTTAAGGTTGGAAGGGACCTCTAGAGGTCATCTAGTCCAACCCCCCTGCACACGCAGGATCACCTAGAGCACGTAGCACAGGACTGCGTCCAAGTGGGTTTTGAAGATCTCCAGAGAAGGAGACTCCACAACCTCTCTGGGCAACCTGTTCCAGGGCTCTCTCACCCTCACTGGTAAGAAATTTTTCCTTAAGTTCCTGTGGAACTTTGGTGCTTCCATTTGTGGCCGTTGCCTCTAGTTCTGCTGGTGGCCACCA